TTTATTCACTCTTTCGTCGAAACCTTATTTCAACAGTGGAGCCATTTAAGCTTGGAATTAGCGTCATTTGTCGACCGCACAAATATGAATGTGTTGTAGGGGGAGACTAAGAAAGGAGGAAAGCCAAGTGTATCGATGCAAAATAACGGTGGGAGATGTGGAAGAAAATAATTGCATTGTAAAGTGTAGGAGTGGGAAAAGAGAACGGGGTGTGACGAGTAGGGAAATCAGGATAGAAACTAGAAAGCTCTCAAGCGATGGGAAGAGAGGAGGATGAAAGAAAAGAGAAATGCATGACTATGTATAGTATAGGTAAAGCAAAGTGATCATGAAAACTAATTTAAGGGTAAGGAGGAGTGAAACAATGAGAAACAGTGTGCACCACTGGTATGTAGCTGCCATAACATTAACGCGACAGCGTTAAAAAGCTCGTTTCGAAAAAAATTCAGCGTCGGCGTTGTTGGTTGTGAGGGAAAAATCATCTTGTGCGTGACCGAAACAATCGACAAGGGTGAAAATAAGCTCAATAAATAATAAAAAAATTCTGGGTCTGAGTGAATCGAATGGAGGCCGTTAACGTGGCAAACAGGTGTTCTACTACGCAGCCACGCGTCTACTTGAAAGGGCAGGAAAAATAACGTTCCCGCTTTACAAACACGCGTCTTGTACAGGTTTTTTTATTGATATGATATATAAGATGTTGACACACAATTACGGCGCCGGCTGCTCTTTAGCCCTTGAGTGAAACTTGAACACGTATCTTGAAGTATAACATACAAAGCAGTGCATGGAAAATAGAACACTCGGGCACAGATGCAAAGATACACCTACACGCCCACATCACAACAAAATGACAAGGAAATGTTCGAAAGTCAATGAATGAAGTATCTGATAATGTCCCTCGTTAAGATTCGGTACAACCAGCACAAAACAGCAGAGCACACGTTGGTCCTTATGAAGATGTATTCGCTCGTGTGCATAATAGTCGACACGTCATTCGCTTCACTAAACACATATGATGGGTGTCACATGATACTGCACATAAGTACATGTGTTATACAAATGAAAGTTCGTTATTTCTTAGTACTTTTCAGCAATTCCGCTGTCTTGTAAAAAACGTGTAAATTCTTTTAAAGCGTGCGACTGTAAAACTGCAGTTGGCCACAGGCCCAGAAGTTTCATGCTAAATGGTCTGTGGTCTAATGCGAACAGTTCCGAGTTAAGACGGCGTCTCGGCGTGTCATGATGTGGGCAGTCTATGAGAAGGTGACATACTTCTTCATCTATAAATCCACATTCGCATTCAGGAGTTTCAGCTCTGCCAATTCTGTGCAAAAATATGTTTTGTGTATGCGGTGCCTGGCCTCAATCGGTGAATTAGTTTCCATACTTCTATCTAATACCAGCGTAATTTGTAGGCTTCGCAATAAAACATGCAATATCGCAAAAATATTGCGTGGTATAAGCCTGCATAGCCATCAGGTGTCAGAACAGGTGATTATCATAGTGATGTCGTGGTCTAAAGCCGGCCACCCTTTACAAAAGGCACACGGCTTATTGAGCGTATACATACCCGTATAAGACCATGTAATGGGTGCATGGCAAGCTGGAAAAGATTTCACGCGCGTAATTGCTCGGGGTTTATAGCATGCTACCCATTACACAGAATGCAAAAATGTGCGAAAGCTTCGTTGACACAAGCCACTTTCAACTTTATCGATTACATTGAAATAATCATCAATTTAAACTTCTTTAGTTTACGTCATTATGTAATAAGTGGTTGAAGTGTGCTATGGGACAAGATATCTCTATGGCGTTCAACATTTAAAGGCAAAGCTGCAAAGCTCATGGGTCCCCCAATTTTTTTATGCACTGAATGTCGCTGAGAACCGCCGTGGGGGTCTAGTGGATATATGGTGCTCGATTGCTAACCTACAAGTCGCGGGATTGAATCCCAGCCGCGGCAGCCGTATTTTAGATGGAGGTGAATATGCTTGACGCCCGTGTACTCAGAATTTGGTGCACGTTAAAGAACACCAGGTGGTCAAAATTTCTGGATTCCTCTAATACGGAGTTTTTCATAATCGTATCATGGTTCTGGGACAATAAACTCTAACAATTATTGTAGAATCTCTCTCAGATTACTGCGTTAGATTACTGGGTGGCGAAATCTGTCGCAATGTTTGCTCTCTTACGGAAACGCCCGCCACTGAGGTCCCCCAAAAATATTTCTAAGCGAATGGGAACATTCCCATCAATTTGGTAACAAGCAGTAGAAACAAAATTGGCCCCGTATCTGCATGTAATCTGCAAATGTAGTCGAAAGACTATAGTCTTGCGTATGAAGAGAGTGAACAAAACATTCATTTGATGTTCTGCGGAAGAAAATTGGTGAATAGTATTCCGGAGGCGCTCGTTAGAGTTTTCTCCACACCCGTCTTCACCGCCTGGACCCATGCCTACGACTTACTATTCCATCTGGCCTACCCCGATCCGAGACGACCCTTCTCTGCCGTATGTGGCTTGGGGTGTCTTTCACGAACGCTTTTGCCTGCCGCATCGGAATGAGAGACAGCGCTACATGCGACCATTGCGACAATGACGAAACAATTGAACATATTTTATGTCAGTGCCCCCAGTACAGCTCTCAGTGACAGTCCCTCTCAGCAGTGTTTGCTCGCCTCGACTACCAGCCATTTTCTGAGCAGTCAATCTTGGAATGTCGGAAAGATCGAGCCTCACGCCAGAAAGCAACGAAGGCGCTGATGAAGTTTCTGCGAGCGACCCGCCTCGTTGAACGATTGTGACACTACTGTGTGCGAGTGTGTGTGTGTGTGTTTGTGCTTCTCTTCCTCCCTTTCCCCTTTTTTTTCCCCTTACCCCTTCCCCAGTGCAGGGTAGCAAACCGGATATGTTTTCTGGTTAACCTCCCTGCCTTTCCGCATTAAATTTTTTCTAGAGTACCTCGAGCATGCAGCGGAGGCGAACGAGCGCATCAAGTCACGTCACTCGTGAGACATGAGCGCCACCTCGCAGATTAATTTGGAAAACAAAGCGCGTAGCCCTGAGACGGGCGTGCGTGCCCTTCTCAGAGGTGATAAGGTGTAGAACGCAAGGTGACGGGTAGGTGCCACCACCGTGTCGTCTTAGCAAAGCGTTGGAAACACTCGCTTCTTCGTGCAAGCGTTGCATGGTGAGCGCAGCGTGATAAGCGCTATGGTCCTCAGAATTACTTATGTATGCCTTTTCTAGTAAAAGAGGAACATTCAGAATATATACGTGTTAATATAGTGCCTCAGATATGCGCAATAATTGTTTTTTATTTCAGTAAAGTGAAAAGTTGGGCGAGTTGGTGCTGGTTCATGATGATACGGGGCGCGAAAAAAACGACACACAACAGAGAAGAAGTACACAGACGACGCGCGTCGTCTGTGTACTTCTTCTCTGTTGTGTGTCGTTTTTTTCGCGCCCCGTATCATCATGTTTTTTATTTGACAATCGCACACGTATGAACGCTAATTCTTGAGCAACATTGGTGGGCGTTGCGGATGGGGTCGGCCGTTCGGGGTATCGGCTGGTGCTGTTTAGAGCACCCGGTTCACGGTACCGGTGGACAGACGGACAGACGGACGGAGGGACGTACGGACGGAGGGACGGACGGACGGACAGACAGAAAGAGAGAGAGGGACAGATATAGAAAGAGAGAGAGGGACAGATATAGAAAGAGAGAGAGGGACAGATATAGAAAGAGAGAGAGGGACAGATATAGAAAGAGAGAGAGGGGGACAGAAAGTCTTTGTGTTGAAGGTCCCTAAGAAAGACTATTGTCTTTAAAAAAAGCAGCCTGTGTTTTATTTTCCGCATTTTCTGGCATATGTTCAAAAAAGATAGCCTTACAGTGAGTGCTTCGACACAATCACGGCGAGGCGGAAAGCGGGTGCTGAGTATGTTCAATGTTACTTTTTGTGTACATTGAGGACGTTTCACGCTTGTCTGTGCATGGTATACATATGACTGTAGCTGTACATAGCATTTAACGGACACAGAATCGCCGACTTGTGATGGAGGCCGGTTTGAAGTTCAGGATAAAAAGGGTAACGGCAATGCACTACAAATCTGACATTAGTGGACGGGGCAAGCGCAGAACGCGATGCGAAGGCTGTCTATAGCACATCGCTTCTATGCAAGCGCAGATGACACGAAATAATGAACTTGCAAGTTATTTGATCTCACAATCAAATGCGCATTATGGAATCAATCCTAACTCCCTGCATAATATGGCTAAAACATTGTTCTAGTGCACAAATGAATGGTAGATTATGAAGCTTTAACCATATGGTGAATAACCACCGCTAAACTCGAGGGCGCAAGTTCGATTCCCGGCATCAGTGGCCACATTCAGATTGAATTTAATGCACACCTGCTGGTGTAATTACATATAGAGCTGCATGTGGTCAGGACTAGGTCAAGATTTTTCATTACAGCGTGTCTCACCGTCCCATCGTGATTTAGGTATTTATCCCAAGGAAGACAACTTATTGCAATAATCTGGACACGCGTGTACTCACACTTGGTAGTATCCATGACGAGAACTCAAGCACACAAAAAATGAACAAAGTAGAATATAAAAAGACTACTCATACATTGAAATTGCAGATGAATTCCCAACTAATATCTTTTAAAATCTGATACTGCAGAACGTTTTACATTTGCTGAGTCTCCTAAGCAAGCATACTGAGTACCTTGCCTCAAGCATTATTATTCTGAAAATTGGTTGGCATAAATTTAGCCCTCCAATTCGAATAATTAAAGCTCAATTGTGCAACCCTTCAATTTTTTTACAATCACACAAACAAGGGTGCTGTAGAAAGATTACTTGACTAATAATTGTAGCGACATCGTTAGGCGAGCTGGAGACCACTTGTTTTGACTTTTGTGCATGTGAAGGGTCAGTTCCGTTTATAATTTATCTTCTTACTCTCGTTCATTATATCTACCAGATGTGCTGCTTCATCAGGTCTTCTCCTACTGGTGCGCCAAGCAGAATCATCACGAGGACGTAAGTACACATATATTCGAAGATTTCACTGCAAGGACATTTGAATTGAAAGGCTTATGAAGTCAACTCTTTCGCGTGAAGAGGATAAATAAAAGTCGCACTCGAATGTGAGTGTGCTAGAATGGCGGATGTAGACAATGATTTTATCGGGCTTCAAACCTAAGCGACCATTCTTTGGAGGGAGCCATTACACGCTGGCGCATCAGTTGCTGGAAGCCTTTCACCATTACAAGAAATGTGATTTTTTAATGAGCGTGCCGCCGGTTTTGCTGCATAATAGTGAATTACAGCAGTTGAAGGTAGATGTGCATTAGATTGCTTTATGAATTACCTGTCAATTTATTTTATTTTAAATATATATATATATATATATATATATATATATATATATATATATATATATATATATATATATATATATATATATATATATATATATATATATATATATATAGGTTCGTTCTTTCTGTTTTTTTTTTCTAGACGACCTTACGTTAAGATTCACTTTTTGTTACTGGTTCTCGGATACCATGGTTGTGACTTTTGATACGTCATATGTAAGTTCCTGCACGTGCAGTGAGTGAAATGTTCTGCGCATGTCTTCCAAAAGCCTTTTCATTGCGAATGCTTCAGGAGAAGAAACTTAGCTGTGAGTTGGCGTTCTTTCAGTCTCTTCTCATTTCTAGCCTTGCGCTTCGTCTCTCAAGTAACGATGCACTAACTGGCTCAAGAAGACTTTCTGTTCAGCGCATATTAACCGTGAATGCACGAAGAACACAACCAGCTGTTGTATTGGTTTCGTAAACTGTGCCCTTCTTTCTTTTTTGAGAGCACGTGACCACAGTTCACATGTGGGTCTCTTTTTCATGCGTTTAAGAATTGTGAATGTGTTTTACGCACATGTGTAATGTCGCACGATTTTATTTTGGTATCATTGAATTTCTTCCTCCTTATGATGACTGAATCGCTTCTATGATATGGAGCGTGTGCAATGTGAATTAACTGCATAGGAATATACAATGTTACTGCCGGGAAAGAAGTTACTGAATATATTGCCGGTGATAGTGTTTACCGACATCATTTATAGTTTGTATACGAAGGCTTACATAATTCTTGCTGGCCCAACGAATTTACAGTATACGGCCAGCCGGACGGCTAGTGCATACAAAGACCCGGAATGCTTTGAGCACACGTGTTGCAGTTAGGTGATTTTCGGTTTGTTTCTCAATGTACCACCAGTATTCCCCTAAAGAACAGAACAGTTAGAGAACCACCCTCATTTTCCGAGGGCTACATACTTTGTAGCAGTAAAATAATTGTTAATTAGCGCTCGCTTTTTTTTCTTTTACCACATTTGCTTTAAAAGCACGAATTCATTTTATTCATTTTATTCATTTTATTGAGGTTGTTATGAATACATTTCAAGAAATTCACAACACTGATTAGACCCATAGCCATAGGCTAGTAGGGGGTCTAACGGGAGAAAGTGTACAAGCAGAATACAATTTGTATATAAAAAAATCAGAACATCAAAAAAAGTTGATTTTTCAAAAAGAGAACGAAAATACAAGATATCATTGGAATTTAAGGTGAAAGTAAATGCTCAGAAATGTATATAGAACACATTGTTGCACTTTGTTCATAAATAATGAAGTAATTAAGAACAGACAAAACATCAAACTATGTGTAAGGCTTAGTACATGGTCATTACTATTGATCTACATGTAGCAAACATTTTTTGTGAGAGTATGATTTAATTTTTTTGACAGACGAGTATACAAGTCTAGAGCTGTGAAAGTAAGCTCGGAAACGTTTTTTTTTTTTAATATTATTAGTCGGAAGTCCCAGGAACTCGGTACACGTGACCTATTCCTATACTCCACTCTCCCCTTAAACGTCATGTAAGATACATTTCTTGTAGGGTGCTTGCAATCACTCCAATGTTCCGCAGCTGTTGCAGCCGGAGCTCGCTGTTGCAGACGTCCACGGGAGAAGTTAGCGATGCTTACATGGCCAGTGTACAGTGGACGTGCCCCACACACGCGTAACGAGGGAGTCGTTGAGCAATCGAGTACCGAAAACTTACTCGTGTACGAGAAATGTCGTTCATTGAGGCGCGTGTACCCTGCGCTCGCATAATTCCGTCCCCTCGCTGCTGCGCCTGTCGATCCTTTCAGGGAAGGCCGCCGGCGCGTTTGCTCATTCCTCAATGCAGACATGCAAGCAACACCTGTTTCGCAAGAGACTGAAATGTCCGACGTTCTTTATGCTTCCCGTTTGCTCGTTACACCAAGCCGTTGTTTCTTTTCCTCGCGGCACGACCATTTTCCGCGTCTGCGCGCTTTGCGGAAGGAGAATATGCAAACATCGGCTGGGATTACTGGTCGATTTGTTACACGGTGCCGTTTGTCACCTCTGCTTATTAAAATTGATGTCACGACCTTGTTCGACACTGAGAACCCAATTGACTTTAAATGATGTAGTCATTCCGAGGACTGGTCCACGACGCTCAGTATGGTTTACTTAGAATAGTGTGAATGCACGACTCTCTATAGCAATGGCCGTGGCGATTCCCATGCGCACGCGCATTTTCACTGATTCTCGAGCTGCTGCACGAGCGTTCATGACCGGGTCAGTCTGTGAGCAGGCGGCCCATCTTCTTACCAAAAGACCACATTGCACGGAAATCGACGGCCACATCACCTGGTTTCCTGCCCACATGGGCAAGGATGTCCACCCTGTTATCCCCAATGCCAATGAGCTTGCCCATGCCCGAGCACGCGAACTGTCCCACCGTGACGGGCAATCGGCATCTAATTTTGGGGATGGCATCCGGCAGCTTGATTGTCGCTCCTCACCTTTAACGAAATTTGCAAAAATTATCAATTGGCCAGGCGTAGCTTTCCGCTCCCGCACCCGCAACTCTCTAGGGCCCAGTCAGTCACTTTAAGAATGCTGCAAACGGGTACTTACCCGTCGCCTTTAGTGTACAGCAAGTTTATCGACAGCATAAAGCCGCAATGCCCTCATTGCGAAGAGAGACGTTGCACGTTACCCCACATGCTCTGGCAATGCGCGGCGCTGCGCGATGGCGAGCCTCTCAGCACAGAAGCTGCCTGGAGGACGGCAATTACCAGCTCGGACCGAGAGGTCCAAATCCGGGCTGTCCAGAGGGCCCGCAATTTGGCGGAGGGGCTCGCTCTTCCTGTCCCCACGTGGGTGCGGCCCGCAGCCGACCCTCCCTCTTGAGGGGAATCGGCTCCTCAGGACAATTTGTAAATAAAGTTCATTGACTGACTAACTGACTCTCAAAACAGGCGCTTCGTTTATGCCCGCATCTACGTATCAGAACATACGGACACAATACATGAAATGCATCCATGAGAAGCGGGGTACATAAGCATACAAACTAGATAACATTCAGAAAAGCAATAGAGAGCTTAACCAGGGACGTGCTCCTCGTGTATTTGCGCAAAATTTAAGAGTATAAACACCTTTGCTCTCTTTTTGTGTGTTTCTCCCTTTGCTTATCAATTTAGACCACGTGCTCACAGCTACGCGTTAACTATTGTGGGTCTCCGGCTTGCTGCGTCCCGTTCGTGGGTAAAGCAAGGACGACGGAGGCTTCACGTCAAAACAAGGAACATTTATTTAACTAAACCCGGTATACGTAAGAGTCGGCCCAGGGGCGAGACAGCTACGCAGTGACCATCATTGCGGGCAGCAGTAATCGGCCAGCACGGTGTACAGTGTCCATCCTTCGTGGCAGCCAAGGCGTCTCCTCTTTTTGTGTGTGTGTGTGTGTGTGTGTGTGTGTGTGTGTGTGTGTGTGTGTGTGTGTGTGTGTGTGTGTGTGTGTATCTTAGTGTGTGTATGTGTATATTTCATACTGTGGGGATGTTGTTATCGCAAAATTGCACTATCTAGCGTGTTAATTAGCGAGTGCTTCTTCACTGTAATCTGAAATGACGATTCTCTCTCTCTGTTTCGCTCTGCTGTCATGGAACAGGGACGTCGCATGGCACCCTCGTGAACAACCGCCAGCGACATCGAGCGGCGTCTAACCCGAGTATCTCCGTACGGGATGCACAGGAAGCTGCGCAACAGCCTCGTTCTGACTGTCCTCACCGCGAGCGCTGTCGCACTGCTGTTCACCTGCACGCTTTACCCGTTCTGTGTCCCGCGCGATGGCGTACCCGAGGCGAGTTACACCAGGGTCCCTGCTCTGCGAAACATCCTGTCCTCTTACACGGACGTGTTCACGCTGCCGCCATTCAGGCTGGACTCGCAGTCTCTGTACCGCGTCTACGAGAATGCCATCGAGCGCGACAGGCGGCCTTCCAGCAAAGAGGTCGTGTGCATGTCCACCATCGCTTCGCTGGACCATCTGCACTGGCTGCGCGAGCTCTCCGACCACTGGACGGGTCCGGTGTCGGTGGCGGTGTTCTTCAGGGAGGACTTGGACCTGCAGCTGATGGTGACGTATGTGCACGTGCTCAGGGTGTGCTTCCCTGCCATCAGGGAGAACTTCACCTTTCACTTCGTCTCTCCCGCGGAGAGGAACGACAATGCGACCAAAGACACGTTCGCGTGGGAAGATTCCGACGAGCCGCTGTTCTGTGACAGCCACCGGGCGCTTCTGCGTGCCTTTCTGGCGGTACTACGGAAACGCGGCTGGCCCCGCTTGCTTTTTCCCCAGAACCACCTGAGAAACGTCGCCCGTGACGGCTGCCTATCGAGTCCGTACTTCTACGCAACGGACGTGGATGTGATGCCGCAGTACGGACTCTACGAGCGGCTGTCCGCATTCCTTCTGCGGCAACCGCCTTGCGCAAAGTGCCTTTACGTCGTGCCTGCTTTTGAAGGCACCGAGTTCGTCACCCATCCGAAGACGAAGAGCGCTTTGCTCAGTAGGTGAGCGAGAAAAGAAACCGCTATGTTAACTCAGCTTAACGAGGGTTGCTATGTGGGCTTGTAGGTGATTAAATTTAAAAGTTTTGATATAGCGCAAAACGACACATGGACACAAGAGGATACAGAAAAAAAAACACCGCACACTGCTCTAGCAACAAGAAGGCACATATGAATGCCACACATGCTTCTTGTGTCCACGTGTCGTTTTGCGTTGGATCACAACTTTCCGTAGTTAATCTTGGGAGCTTTATTGACCCCAAGAACACCCTTACGTATGCTTTTCCAAGACATCCTTCCTTCTTTGTGCATTCGTAAGGTATACGCGACGACGAAAAAAAAATCAAATTTTCTATTGTTCTCTATCGTAGATTGGTATAAATGAGTATTCACTGTGACTTTACATTCCAACGCCAGCTATTTTACCCGAGAAGTTTCAGGCAATCATTTCCCTGTTCAAGCAAGGCTCTACCGTTATACGTTTTTTGTCTTTATCAAAAATCAAACCTGCATTTTATCGTAGTTCAATGACGCAGTAAATAAATCCGTTATGTAGCTAAGTAATCAATTAGACGGTCGATTCAGTCCACATTACTATATTCGTAGTTATTCCAACAAGGAAAAAGGCCCAAAGAAAATATTGTCTACAGTAGATGTTTTCAAGTGACATTTTTTTTAAATTGAATCAAAAAGATATTTGAAAACAAAAACATCCCCCGGAAAATGAATGGCTCTTAAATTTTAAGCTTCGTGAACAAATTTGCAAAATAACAGCCTGACAGGAGATGAACAGAAAAAAAAAACACTTGGCTGATCCATCTTTTTTAGGAATTGGTATAACACGAAAGTGGAGCGTTTCCTCGTAGAGGTAGTTGAGCATTCATTGCGCATTGTTTCGCCACAAGGACGAAGGAATGAATACTACAGCAAGCGATTGCAATGTCACGCGAAGAATGGCAAGCAGCTCGAAACTTGCAGCGCACACATCAAGCAGAAAACACGCCCAAAATTAACATACACAGGACGAGCGCGAACAAACTGTGACAGCTCTACAGTGAAAGCACGCTCCACAAACAGAAAGAAGCATGACATCAACGCACAATGTGTACACAGGGAGAGCTCGAACAACTGTCACGATTCTTACTTTGCGTGTGAGCAGCGTCATACTTTCGTAAACGCGGCCGTGGCAGCATGCGAATTGACCTTTGTGCTCTACCGAATCGCGAGTCTTATAAGAGCGCACGCGGGAGAGGCCACGCTATAGCCACGCTTCGTGGAGGAGACGCTTACCGAAGCACGAGAGGCGACGGCCTCCAAAGCGCGCGCAACGCGAGCTCGTCGCGCCATCTTGCCACTGATGACAAAAACACGCTGAACTTGCGGAACTGAGAGGACTTTCAAAGGGTGTGTGGTGTGTATAAATGGCTTGCCGTTAACAAGTGTAAGTAGGTTCGCTGTGTGGCGTATACAGTGGTTAGCGTCTCGCACTGAGGAGCGCGCAGTTGCTGGTTCGACGCCTCGCTGCGGAGCTGATTGTGATATCTTTTTTTTTTTGCAACATATTTGTATACATTTTACAACGTCATATCCGTGACGGAAATACGTAAGCGGAGCCGTTGGGGACCCCGGCATAAAACACTTTCGTTAGGCCAATCTACTTTCGTGTTAAAAAAAGGGGGGGGGGGGGAGAGACTGGCGAAGCTCTTACTAGCACCTGAGATTCATTGTAAATAACACATGTATATAAAAGTATGTTCAAACATGTCTGCTCACTCAAACTGTCGCATCACAAGGTTGAGGTTGTTAACAAAGTTAAAACAGGCTCTAAATGTAACTGGAGTCATTTAGGTTCCTAACCCAGTCCAGCGCATACCAACTTGTCGTGTTTCACGCATCGTTTGAAGTATACACAAAGATTGCGCGGAGTGTGTTCTACTCATCATAGCAGCTCACCTGCTGTGAAACCTGGCCCCGACGCTGTGGCCTAAGGTACTCGGCTGCTGACCCGCAGACCGCGGGATCCAATCCCAGCTTCGCCGGCTCCATTTTCGATGGAGGCAAAAATGCTTAAGGCCCGTGTGCTCGGATTTGGGTGCACGTCGAAGACCCCCAGGTGGTCGAAATTTCCGGAGCCCTCCACTATACGGCGTCTCTCGTAACCATATGGTGGTTTAGGGACGTTAAACACCACATAACAATTAATCACTACTGTAAAACTTGAGCCAGTGCGGACCACGTGTGCACTCAGCCATTCCCGTTAGTAGAGCTCCCACTGCTCCGTTTACCAAAGTGCCGTTATAATGCCGATGTTTGAGGCAAGCATGTATAGTTTCTCCGACATGAGTAGCTTTTTATTTTTTTGGCAGATTCGCAAATTCTGCGCACTGCCGCAGTGGTCTTTTGGTTATAGGGTACTCTGCTGCTCATCCGCAAACCAAGAATCAAATCCCAGCTTCGGCAGCTCCACTTTCAATGGAGGCGGAAATGTTGTAGGCCCGTGTGCTCAGATTTGGGTGCACGTTAAAGAACCCCAGGTGGTCGAAATTTCCGGAGCTTTCCACTACGGTGTCTCTCGTAATCATATGCTGGTTTTCGGACATTAAACTCGACATATCAATCATGTCAGTCAATCGCAAGTGTGTGCGACACGTGCGCCACTCTTTGTTGCACTTTATAGACTTCCTGTTTGTTGCGGTAGTTCAAACTAGCGTCGTCTGCGGCGAGATTTGTCAAGTTGCTTACCCTAACCGATGTAGCGCCAGCGAAGCGTATAGAGAGAAAGAGATGATTCACTCTCTTGCACGCTCCCGGAATGAGCCGCACGTTTCCGGAGCAATTGGTTGCGATATCAATCATGTGAACACGCTCTGGCTTTTGCCGTCGCCTTCATGCTCCGGATATGTATGTGTATGATGAATATATATAAAAAGGCACAAAGAAAAATGAACCAATGACCCCTCGCTCCACAGCGCGCTGCGTTAGACCACTGAACCACACGCCATGTTTTTTCTTTTTTTTTTTGTACTGAGCCACACGCCATGCACTGGCATAATAACGGCAAGCTATTCATAGACACCATTTAGCGTTGGAGGAATTCAGATGCCGCAGGATCTTGAGCGCGTTGTCTATCACTTACGATTCTTCATTTTTTTTTTTTCAATCTGAAAACTGCTCTTGAGACGTGCACTAAAAGGAATCAAGAAGCCAATGAGGTTTAAAAAAGCAGGCCACTTTCAGTATGAACTTGTGATCTGAAAAGGAAAAAAAAAAACGTCCGAACCTTGCATCGATCGCCACTGCATGCGTGACAAGACGGGGCTCACTCAGCGCACTGCATTGTAAAACCTCATCTACGAGCGTCGGTTTTTGCGCTCTCGTCACTCGCAGCGTGTTCCTCAAACGCAAAGGCATAAAAACTCTTGGTAGTTAACGTTTTTCCCGTGTATAGCTACGAGTCTTTTTTTTTTCGATCGTCCTTTGGGATTTAGCGGGAAGCTGCAAGTATCGAGCCGCTCCTCGATCAACGTGTGACATTTCGATTTCTTGCTATCACATCCGTTGCTTTGCCCATCTAGTGAAACTGACTTCAGTGTCTCTCAGTTAATTATTGAGTTTGCTTCTTGGTTAGTTCTGTCAAATATATTTAAAACTTGTTTGTTAATTTTAACTTGGTTTTGAAATTTTCTATCTGTGTCTTGGCATGTATTAGCGTTTTCGCTATACTATGTGTGTGATCACGCCACATGGCCCGCATGGATGGACAAGCCGGACCGCTCAAGTAATCCGCACTTAAAACAAGCTTTTTGTATTTGGCACAGATGTAACACCAATCGTATAATTAAACGTCCGTTTATGTGAAACTGGGATGAAGACAGTAATGAAACAAGGCGATAGGACGTCATGAGACAGTTATACTTTATCCACGTACATGTGAGTGTAGCATGAATGGCTGCATTGGAGTACAAAGCTTTTGTTCGCTTGGTGCGTGTCAGTTGGGAAACATAAAAAAATAACTTCCTGTGTCGTGTCGGCTGTCCGAGGGAGTGGCATGCTTAATGAGCGACTTTTGGGGCAGAAGCTTCATGCCCAAGGTAGCAGTCCAGTTCCTTAGACAAAATATCGAATTATTTGGAACACTTTCTGCAAGAATCTGCTTTTGTACATCAAATTCACCGATAAATATATTCACGCTTTATAACAAAAATGAACAATTCGGCAGCTTAAACCTGTCAGTCATCGAATATAATTAAATACCAATGAGTAATTGTTTATTTGCTATTTCGCAGATTTGTATATCAAAGCAACTGAGACTTCGCAATGCAAAGACGTGCAATAATTGTATAATGGAAATCGTAGTACTCAAAGCTGTTTTGTATAGTGTTTATCATTTCTCTTTCAACTTTCAGCTAAGAATACAACTGATTAACGTGGTCTATACTGTGCTGAGTATGTTCTTGTTTTTGTATGCACTTCCCGTGTCGATGCTGATATTTCTTGCATAATGTAGGCTCATCAAATATCAATGTATGTGCTCACTTTAAAGATATTGATTATGAGTGCAAATCAGCGCAACCGACAAGAGGGTACAGAAAAGAGGGCATCAGCGCTCTGTGTCCTCTTCTTTGCCGGTTGCGCGGTTTTGCACTCGTAATAACGTTTTACCAACACGCCCAATCCTAGTCTTTGAAGATATTGCTTGATATATCTGTTTTGTTTCTGTCGCAATTATGGCGATATGTTGTTTGTGTTTGATTTAATAATTGGCTGTGTCTTCCTAATCGCCCATTCTGCCCACCGTCGCCTGAATTCCCCCAGAACAGGAAACAAGAAAGACTTCCGAGTGTATCACGCTGTGGCGTTCAGTAAAAACCAACGGGCGACGAATTTCAACAAGTGGAAGAATGTCCCGAGCAGGGCAGAGCTCTACGCAGCCTACGAAGCTGTCTTCGAATTCGGCTACGAGTGCTTCTACGTCTGTCCCCATGACGTGCCCAAGTTTCGCGAGATATTCATCGGTTATGGCTTCACACGGAACGTCCAGGTACGCTGCCTAGACCGCACAGTTTTTGTACTTGCAAAATTCGTAAACAGGGAGTTTGTGCTGGAGCCGACGTTTTGACAAGCGGGCTTGTCTTCCTCAAGGCTGCAAGATGGCGGCAACATAAGACGAGTCCGCTTGTTGAAACGTCAGATCCAGTTCACTCACCCCATTTACGAATTTTTCATCGCATGCCCCAATCTTTCCCATCCTGCCTGGAATTCCCAGTATCTGAGGGCATCTGTACCTGGCGCCATCTCTCAGCGGCAGCAATGACGTCCTCAGATAACTTAAGGGAAGTAAGAGGGAAAAAAATCGTACCTAATGAAAGAAGCTAATTAACAAGAATGATTCCCGGATATACGCCACAGAGAACACTGGAGCATTCTGGCGAAATTGCGGTGTCACATTACGAGTCGTGTGGTTTGCCAAAACAATTGAACACTGCCCATTGGAAACATAGAGGGGGGCCCATTTTGAAACATTTAGTACTCTCGGAAATCACGTGGTTTGTAGCACGACACAATAATGTTATCTGAAAGTTCCAGTGTATCAACTGCATATCACTGGTAGTAGTTTTTCGTAGCAAGCTCTTTTGGTCAGATTTTTTTTCGCCTATTTCCCATTCCCTTGCACATGGCCTCCGACATGGCGGGCGCGCGGGTTTCTCTGAAAAACACGCCACGCGCCCGCCATCTAGGAGGCCATGATTTGCGGCAGGCCACTGCTGTCACCAACGAGAGGTGGTGCTACGCGCACATGTTCCTAAATGCTAGTCAAAAGTTTTTGTACTTTGTGACTTTTAGTCGGACACAACTCTGCAGAGGGCCCACCAAGACTAAGTGCCGCAGCCAATCGCCTCCGCAACTACATAGTCCAGTTCATACACTTGGTAATGTTCTTTTAAGGCGGAGCCACTGAGCGTTCGTCTCGTGATGTTGGTCTCGAGAGAGCACTCATTGGAGCAGACCTGTCTGCATACGTCTCTGAGGAGGAAATGCAGTGGACTTCGAAAGTTGTATCCGACTATCGACATACTGCAATCACATTGCATCTATTCCTTGCAGAGTTTACACCAGAATACGTAAGACGTGAAAAAGTCGCGCACAGAAGCACGTGTGCATGTGTTTCCTTGTTCGCGTGTGCCATTCTGCTCTAACAAATTCTGAAAGGTATACCGGGTCAACAAAGCCGTGATGTTTAGAACTTTATTTGTGCTAATTCTGCATGCGCTGACCTGCTTTCAGAAGTTTAACTTGCACTGAGGTCATTGCAGATTAGCACTCTGATTGAAAAATTGAATCTTCATTTTTGTTTACCACAAAACGTCCACGTGAGGACCGAACAACGTGAGTATGTGAGAGTATACACCCCGCAAAAATGCGGATTTTCTGCGGTGGCTAGATGCTTTTCCGCTCACTTTCATTTTCGTTTACTTTTATCTCTACTCTTCAATAAAAACAATAAAGCCCCACGACGCGTGTAGTTACCGCAATTTTAAAAATTCCGATAGTCTGCTAATTTCAGTGCAGTAATTGGTCCTCTACATTCGTCACCCGTAGTGGCAGCTTAGCACGTCAGGTGTCGCGCTGCTGAGCTCGGAGGCGCGGGTTTGATTCCCGGACAAGGCGGCCGCATTTCGATGGGAGCGAAATGCAAAAGACACTCGAGTGCTTAGATTTGCATGCCCGTTAAAGAACCTTAGGTGGTCGAAATGTTCGGCACTCTCCACAAAGTGAGCCTCAAAATCGTATCGTGATTTTATGTTGCGCAAAACAGCAGATATTAAGAGTGAATCTGTTAAAGCCGCTTTTCATCATCATCATCATCATCATCAGCCTGGCTACGTCCACTGCAGGACAAAGGCCTCTCCCATGTTCCGCCAGTTAACCCGGTCCTGTGCTTGCTGCTGCCAATTTATACCCGCAAACTTCTTAATTTCATCTGCCCACCTAACCTTCTGTCTCCCCCTAACCCGCTTTCCTTCTCTGGGAATCCAGGTAATTACTCTTAATGACCAGCGGTTATCCTGTCTACGCGCTACATGCCCGGCCCATGTCCATTTCCTCTTCTTTATTTCAACTATGATATCCTTAACCCCCGTTTGTCCCCTAATCCACTCCGCTCTCTTCTTGTCTATCAAGGTTACACCTACCATTTTTCTTTCCATTGCTCGCTGCGTCGTCCTCAATTTAAGCTGAACCCTCTTTGTGAGTCTCCAGGTTTCTGCTCCGTAGCTAAGTACCGGCAAGATACAGCTGTTATATACCTTCCTCTTAAGGGATAATGGCAATCTACCTGTCATGATTTGAGAGTGCTTGCCGAATGTGCTCCACCCCATTCTTATTCTTCTAGTTACTTCAATCTCGTGGTTAGGCTCTGCGGTTATTACCTGCCCTAAGTAGACATAGTCTTTTACAACTTCAAGTGCACTATTACCTATCTCGAAGCGCTGTTCCTTTCCGAAGTTGTTGTACATTACTTTCGTTTTCTGCAGATTAATTTTAAGACCCACCTTTCTGCTCTCCTTGTGTAACTCCGTAATCATGAGTTGCAATTCGTCCCCTGAGTTACTCAGCAATGCAATGTCATCGGCGAAGCGCAGGTTACTAAGGTATTCTCCATTAACTCTTATCCCTAACTGTTCCCATTCTAGGCTTCTGAAAACCTCCTGTAAGCACGCGGTAAATAGCATTGGGGAGATTGTGTCCCCCTGCCTTACACCCTTCTTGATTGGTATTCTGTTGCTTTCTTTATGAAGCACTATGGTAGCAGTTGATCCCCTGTAGATTTCTTCCAGAATGTTTATATATACTTCATCTACGCTCTGATTCCGCAGTGTCTGCATGACGGCTGATATTTCTACTGAATCAAACGCCTTCTCGTAATCTATGAAGGCTATGTATAGTGGTTGGTTATACTCTGAGCATTTCTCTATTACCTGATTGATAGTATGAATGTGGTCAATTGTTGAGTAGCCTGTTCGAAATCCTGCTTGTTCCTTTGGTTGATTGAATTCTAATGTTTTCTTTACTCTGTTAGCAATTACCTTTGTAAATAGCTTGTACACTACAGAGAGCAAGCTGATCGGCCTGTAATTCTTCAAGTCCTTGTCATCTCCTTTCTTATGTATTAAGATGATGTTAGCGTTCTTCCAAGACTCTGGTACCCTCCCCGTCAGGAGACACCTCGTAAACAGGGTGGCTAGTTTTTCTAACACGATCTGTCCTCCATCTTTCAGCCGATCTGATGTCACCTGATCCTCACCAGCAGCTTTGCCTCTTTGCATGCTCCCCAAAGCTTTTCTGACTTCTTCTATCATTACTGGTGGGGTGTCGTCTGGGTTACTGCTAGTTTTTATAGTATTAAGGCCGTGGTTGTCTCGGCTACTGTACAGATCTTTGTAAAACTCCTCCGCTATTTTAACTATCCTATCCATATTGGTAGTTATTTTGCCTTCTTTGTCCCTTAGTGCATACATCCTACTTTTGCCTATCCCAAGTTTCCTCTTCACTGCTTTGAAGCTTCCTCCGTTTTTCAGAGCGTGTTCAATTCTCTCCATGTTATACCTTCTTACATTGCATACTTTACGTCTATTAATCAACTTCGAAAGCTCTGCCAGTTCTATTTCGTCTGTTGTACTTGACACTTTCATGGTTTGACGCTTCTTAATTAGGTTCTTCGTTTCCTGGGAAAGCTTGCCAGTGTCCTGTCTAACTACCCTGCCTCCAACTTCCACTGCACACTCCATAATGATACTCGTCAGATTATCATTCATTGTATCTACGCTAAGGTTGGTTTCCTCACTAAGAGCCGAGTACCTGTTCTGCAGCGACACTCTGAATTCCTGTACTTTCCCTCTCAGTGCTAGCTCATTGATTGGCTTCTTGCGTATCAGTTTCTGTCGTTCCTTCTTGAAGTCTAGGCGAATTCGAGACCGTACCATTCTATGGTCACTGCATCGTACCTTGCCAAGCACTTCCACATCCTGCACGATTCCTGGGTGTGCGGTCATTATAAAGTCTATTTCGTTCTTATTTTCGCCATTAGGGCTCCTCCATGTCCACTTGCGGTTTTCTCGTTTTCGGTAGAAGGTATTCAAAATCCGCAAATTATTGCGTTCTGCGAATTCTACTAGTAGCTCTCCTCTGGCGTTTCTAGTGCCGATGCCATAATCTCCTACTGCCTGGTCTCCAGCCTGCTTCTTCCCTACCTTTGCATTAAAGTCGCCCATCACTATAGTATACTGTGTTTTTACCTTACTCATTGCCGATTCCACGTCTTCATAGAAGCTTTCAACTGAAGCGTCATCATGGCTGGATGTAGGCGCGTAAGCCTGTACTACCTTCATCTTGTATCTTTTATTCAGTTTAATTACAATACCTACCACCCTTTCATTAATGCTATAATATTCCTCTATGTTGCCAGCTATGTTTCTGTGAATTAGGAACCCCACTCCCAGTTCTCTTCTGTCTGCCAAGCCCCGATAGCAAAGGACGTGCCCATTCTGTAGCACCGTATATGCCTCATCTGTCCTCCTAACCTCACTGAGCCCTATTATATCCCATTTAACACCCTCTAGCTCTTCGAATAGTACAGCTAGACTTCCCTCACTAGATAAGGTTCTAGCGTTAAACGTTGCCAAGTTCAGGTTCCAATGGCGGCCTGTAGTCCAGAGATTCTTAGCACCCTCTGCTATGTTGCAGATCTGACCGCCGCCGTAGTCAGTTGCTTCGCAGCTGCTGAGGACTGAGGGCCGTGAGTTATTTGGCGTATCCATGTGGGAGGTAGTGGCCAGATACTGCACCAGGGTGGCCAATCCTTCTCTGGTGAGGGAGTGCGTTCCCGGCGGTGGTTACCGGTGAGGCCGCACCTCAGGCCTCTTATTGTAGTTCCATCAGCACGCGATTTTTTTTTCCCGGTTGGGAACTGCGCGGCACCGGGCACGTGGTCCGACTGTTGTTGTTTTCACAGATTCACACTGTTTTCCGTTCCTAAAATTT